CCCGCAAGGATTAGGGGGCTGTTTCCTTTAGGCCCTAGGCTTGGAGTCGTCCCTGGTCAGCCTCCTTGTTTCCCTCCTGAAAGGGACCGATACCATTTCCATTCTCTGTAACGAACTTCACCCTAAGTCCCAGGGCTTCCTCAAAACGTTAATATAGTTCTTAAGGACTCAACTCGGAGTCTTGCCCCGAAGTGGGGGCACGGTCTGGCCCCGGAATTGGGGTCCAGCTTTCCCCGAATCGTTCCCCAGGGCTCCAAGCCCAATGCCAGCGCGCTCAGCTCCAGCAAGAGAATCTCTCCTTACTTTCAGGGAGACTGAGTCCCCACGAGGCCACACGCCCCCCGCAGAGCAGGGCTCCCGGCCTCCCTTAGGACCCTGAACATTACTGGGGTCCTCCATCCCTGCGGGGTCCTCCATCCCTGCGGCGTCCTCCCCCCGGGAGCCCCAGGCTTCACGCCCCGCAGCAACCCCAAGTTGCTCAGCCCTCCCGCAGGCAGGGGGAGGCTGAGAGTTCCCCTTACAGAGCCCACTCCCCAGCTCATCCCCCGGCCGCAGGGACCCCGAAAATGCGCAGGAGGCTCAGGGTCGGCTCCCGGCGGCGATGCCCGGCCCAGGCTGGCCCGGTCCCTCCCCTTCGGACGCCCAGCGCCGGGTCCGCCCCGCCACGCGCAGCCGGGAGCGCGCTCGGTCCCCCGGGGTCTCTACCCCGGGGCCGCCCTCCTCCATCCGGTCCGCGCGCCACTCGCTTTCCCGGGCCGCCGTGCCGGCCGAGGGCGCTGAGCTCCCGGTTCCCACCCGCAGCCCCGGGGAACCACGGCCGACTCGTCGCCGAGCCGGCTACCTGCAGGGGCCGCCGCGCCTCTCAGCGCCCCGCCGCCGCCATCTTGCATTTCAAAGCGGTTGCACTTTTCAGGGAGTCAACTCTGACCTGTGAACCTTACACCCGGAACCGCTCGGCGGCCCGGCACACGGCCTCCGCGCTCCGCGGGCCCGGTGGAGCGTGGAGGGTCGGGGGTGGGGGGCCGAGGCGAGGCGCGCGTCCCAGTGGCCGGCGGCGGGTGTGGAGGTAGGGGCGCCGGCCGAGGCGGGGCCCGCCCGCGCGCGCCCTCTGCGCGCCCCCACCCGCTGCGCGCCGGGTTCGCCACTCCCGGACCCTGCTGCTCCGGTGGGGTTCGACCCGGGCCTCTACCCCCTGGATCGGCGCACGGCGGGAGGTAGGGAGCTGCCCCGCCCCGCTGTCAACATAAGCCCCGCCCCGTATGCGGAGGCCCCGCCTCCGTCCACAGAAGCCCCGCCTTCTCCAAGCCTCGGAGCGGTCCCGCCCCTTGCCGGCGATAGCTCCGCCCTCTATCCGCAGAAGCCTAGTCTTCACTCAGGTCTATCCAAAAGGCAGCTCCGCCTTCTGTCAGTGAGGCCACGCCCTTTGAGCGTTCCGCCTTCCTATTGTCACCGCCGGATCTTGAGAAATGCTCCTTCTCATCCATCGTAAGCCCCATCTCCTGGTGACAGTTCTGTCCAAACCCTGCTCCGTTTCAGCGGAAGCCCCGCCCTCTGTCAATAGAAGCCCCGCCTTCCTGAGACCCGTCTTGATTCTAGCCCCAAGCCCCACCACCTGTCAACTGCCGCCCCGCCTCTCGCCTCTGGTCCCTACTCCACCACAAGCCACAGCTCGGCCCGCTGACACCAAAAGTTCAGTTCAACCTCAGTTCGAACCTCCATGCAAGACGGTCCCACCCTCTCCTCCCTCTGCTCCCCGCAAGCCCACCTTTACCCCCTTAGGAGTCACTCTTCTGGAGAGCTTTCTTTGCAAGCCGTGGTCCTCAAATCCGGACAGCTTCAATGTGAACCAGCCCCCCAGAGGGGGCCATCTGAGGGCCCAGGCTTTGTGGAAAACCGGACGTCATCACCGTCCTTCCCCACCTTTCCTTCCCTCAACCCCCACATCATTTTAAAAATGAAGTAAAGTATAAACCAAAGCAAAGAGAAACGACTCACCCTTCAAGCTACTCTGCACAGATTCATGGACCTGGACCTGGTGACTTGACGTTCACCTCCCACCCCTACTCCAGTCATGTACCCTCTGTGCTTTGCCAGTAGAGTGCTCCACTGAGCTGCATTAATCCTAAAATACGCAGTTGCTTAAAGTGAAAGCCTGATTATTGAAATCAATGTACAGCTTCTTTTCATTTGTATGTTTCATCTCAGAATCGTAGGTGGAAGCAGAAACGAGCAAAGCACAATGATCCTATAAACAGAGGCTCTCAGTCCTGCCATACTTAACACCCTGTATTTACAAGAAAAATCTAACATCACTTTACTCTCCTCGAATTAAATTCATAGATAATGTAAACTATGCAAATAATTTCAAGAAACCAATGTTCTAATAATATAAAGGTGAAAAAAGAGAGAGTTTATTCCAAAATACTATACTAATATCAGCAAAAATTATAAAATGTTTTTCATTATGTAAATAAATACTCGGGCATCAACATGAGAACTACAGGACATAAACTGCCCCCACAAAATTTCAATACTCCTCCTAGGGGGCAGTACTGGACCCCCTGAGGCCCTTTCTAGTGTAATACTTATCTCTGAGGAAAGGAAATGCATCAGATGCAGAAATTCATTCTTTTGTTCATGCATTTAACAAGGTTTTTGAGCGCCAGAGTATGCCAGGCACGGTGGGAGATGCAAAGCTGAATCAGGCAATAGTTCCGTCTTCAAGGAGATTACAGTCTAGCAACCAAGCAAAAAACATGAACATAAAAACATCAGGCAAAGGTGTGAGGTGAGATCAAGGAGAGCTTACATAAAGAGACCCCTTTAAGGGTATGCACTGATGACTATAAATCACACCTCTCCCTCTCTCTCCCTCCCTCTCCCTCTTCCTTTCTCAATCCCTCCCTTGCTTTTTTCCTTCCTTCCTTTTCTCCCCCCATCCCCCTCCTGCCCCCCCCTTTTTCTTCTTTAGCACCAATTTATGTAGTCACCTCCTTCTCTCCATAAGCTGTCTGCCTGATTCACTGCCCAATGCCAGCAGCCTACAGTCCTAATTTAGGGCCATGCCCACAGGGCAGTTCTGTCCAGGAAAACAATTTTAATAGCAAAGTGCTGAGAACAGTGTCCTTAGCTGAATTGCTGCCAATTATTTGGTATCCTTGTACAAAGCAAGACTGTTACCACTCAAAAAAACTGGTTGCAGACCTAAGCAATATGAATATATGTTTAGCATAGCAGATTGTGCCAGCCCACATAAATCTGTTTAGAGATCATGCTCACAGAGTAACTTGTTTTTATTAAAATAAACTCATTTGTAAAAATTGTAAATATGACTGATTTCAACAGCTGTGTGGCTCCAGAAGTAAGTTTTTAACCACAGATTGGCACAATTAGAAGAGTCTAGATTTTTTTATGCATATGTTTTACAGTTTGTCATACACAGATCGGTATGGCAAAATTTCAGTACTGGTAAGAGATGCGAAGTTGTCCAGCAGGTTTTAAAAAGCACAGCACTTTTGCTATTCAGAGCCTCTTTCACCTTCGGAACAGTGAAAAAAAATATATTTGTAGGAAATAAAGAATTTTGAATCAAAAGTTCTAAGCACTGGTGTCATCTGAAGAGGAATATGCTTCCAACAGCACTTTTTATAGTAGTTTCCTTCTGTTATTTTTTCCCCCCTTTTCTACTCTTGGTGAAAAAGTCTTCTAAAAAACATGATACCATGAAACAGATCAGCTGAAAAGACTTCAAACTAAGACCCTTTAAACTTTTGACTATATAGTTCAGTGAACTTGAGAATTTAGCACTAGTGAAACACTCCCACAATTCTAATGGCTACTTCAGAAGGTGAACAAAAATGTTCCTGTTAAAACTAGCTCAGACTGCACAAACTTCAAAGTAAATTTAAGGTCATTTTCTATTCCTCTTAATGCTTACTTTGTGAAAATAATGTTATTGATAATAACAGTAAAGACAAGCTAATATTGTTGGTAAATACCCTCTCCACTCCACCCTTCTTTTTTCCCATATCTATTGGGTCTTCGAAAAAGTCATGACACATGTTTGCAACAGATGGCACTAGTTCATTTTTGGGAATACTAGAGTCATTCACATCTATGTTATTGCTATGTCATTTGACAGCTGACATTTCTAGCTTCATTCTAAAAAAAAATTGAGCGATTTGGTTGAGTTTTGGAGATTTTACAACAACTTGAAAATGGAAGACCAAACTGTGCATTTTTGCCATATTTTACCTCCATAAAGGGAAGAACGCGCATCAAGCTTGTGAAAAGTTGCATAAAGTTTATGGTGACAATGCTCTACAAGAATGTCAGTGCCAATGATAGTTCACAAAACTCCATGCTGGTGATTCTGATCTCAGTGATGCTCCTCAGTCAGGGAGGCCCACCGAGGTTGATGACGACAAAATAAAGGCATTGATTGATTCAAACCCACGTTACACGACATGAGAGATTGCAGAAACATTGAATATCCATCATTCAAGTGTTCACGACCACCTGAAGAAGCTAGGATACGTAAGCAAGCTCGATATTTGGGTTCCTCATAAACTCAAAGAAGTTCACTTGACGGCATGTATAAACATCTGCAATATGCTCATTAAACATGAGGAAAATGATCCTTTTTTGAAGCAACTGATAACTGGTGATGAGAAGTGGATTGTTTACAACAATGTGGTGCACAAATGATCTTGGTTCCAACGTGATGATTCGCCTCAAACGACATCAAAAGCAGACATTCATCAGAGGAAGGTTATGCTCTCAGTGTGGTGGGATTTTAAAGGTGTGTTTTTCAAGTTCCCACCAAGGAACCAAACAATCAATTCAAATGTGTACTGTTGGCAATTGGACAGTTTTAATGAATCCATCCAGAAACGTCCAGAGCTCGTTAATGGTAAAGGAGTTGTGTTCCATTGTGACAACGTAAGAACACACACAAGTTTGATCACCCATCAAAAATTATTGGAGCTCGGATGGGATGTGTTGCCACACCTACCATACTCACCTGACTTTGCGCCATCAGACTTCCACTTGTTTCACTCTCTTCAAAACTCCTTGCGTGGTATAACGTTCAATTCAGATGAGACTGTAAATCAGCACCTTGTTCAGTTTTTCACAAATAAAGACAGGTCCTTCTATGAACAAGGAATTATGAAGCTCACTGAAAGATGGCAAAAGGTTATTGAACAAAACGGCCAATATGTCATTGATTGATCTTTGTTCTTTATATAAATAAATGACCTTTGAAAAACATACACAAAATGACGTCATGACTTTTCCGAATACCCAATAGCATAAGGAGTACAGGAACAGGAAAAACTGAATTCCCAGTATTTATTCAAGGAGGAACATGTTGATACACTTCTTTAAAAATCATAGTATCATCTGGGTTGGTTCATTCACTGTTGTGTACTCTATTTCCACCAAAAAGTTGGGTATGTCTACACTGTCTGCAACAAAGGTGCCAATGTATCTTATTTGACCAAAATCTTAGGACGCAAACAAGCCTAGAGGAATGCCCAACTAGAAAGCAATAATAGAGTAAGAAAATGCAATGTTCCTTGTGTTTGAAATTCTTAGCAGAGGGGTCTAGCAGAAGTTCTAAAATGTAAATGCATGATATTATTGGGGAATTTTGTTTAAAATGTAGATTCTCAGATCCCGCTCTCAGGAGTCTAATTCAGTAGGTCTGGGATGAGGTGGCAAAAATCTGCATTTGACGAACAGCTGGTAATCCTTGTGTAAGTGATCTGTGTAGAGTTCACTCTGAGAAATACTGATCTAGAAAAAAGCTGATAATTGGGGGAAAACGTATTGCATTCTTGTAGAACTAATGGTTTCAAGCTATAAAAAGTCAGTATCTCGGGCTGGCCGAGTGGCGCGATCGTTAAGAACTGGCTTGGGATGCCAGAGGGCCCCGGTTCAGATCCCACATATGAGGGCCGGTGACACTGCCCTCCACAGCTGAGATGCTGAGCGGCAGCTCAACCTGGAGCTGGGCTGCTGTGGGTCGCTGGCAACGGCGTAGGCTGCAGCCCCTGTGGCAGTGGGTTGCCATGGGCTATCGTATGTAGCCAGCAGCCAGCGTGAGCAGCCATCCAGAAGCCAGCGACTGATCTGCCTCGCCTGGGAAGAGCGCAATGATGGTGCCAACTTGGGCCAGTGAGGCGACGTCCTCCACAACAAGACTGAAGAACAAAACAACAGCAGCTTGTCTGTTCCCCTTC